GTAATATTGATTTGGGAAAGTAGTGTTGGCCCAGAAAAAGCATTAGTGTATAGATTTCATTTATAGTGAACAGAAATTATTTACTCAAGAATGGCATTCTCTCATTGAATACAATTTATTTTGTTTGCAACTCATGCTATGCTTGTAATGAAATGATAATAAATCAAATGCTTTTTTTAAATAAATCAACGAATAAACCGAACCATTAGTTTATGTTAAATAAAAGATGCAATTCTTGTGGAGAAGCGATACTTGAAGTTAAAGTGTACTCAAAATACTCCATAAAACTTAATGATTGATATACTGTTGTTATACACAATAAGTATAGTATTAAACGTTAAAAATTCTATTAATTGACTAAAGAATAGGATTCTGTAAACGAGTCTTAGAGACACCAAAAACCATTACTTTTAACAGATTTTTGTGTTGTTTTTCTCGAAACATAAGATAATTATTGTGTAACTCTTTGAACAGATAACGAGTTTGTATATACGGATGAAAATACAATAGTTTTGTTCAATATATTAAATAATTCTTCAAAAACATTTGTGCCAAACAATATAATTGTAAGCATTTTGTAATATCCATTTTTATTAAGTAACTCTTGCTAAAAGCATTTTTCCATGTTTAGAGACAATTTAATGTTCAAAAGTTTTCCGTATCCGCGGATAAAAAATTTGTTTTATTGGTTCACGAAATAAAAAAAGTTAGTAAAATTCATGTGCCTTTCATTTATCAATACATTGATTATTGAATTGTCATTTGAATGAAACCCACTTTTAGACGACATATTATGCATTCACAGCCAAGTATAAGATATATAACATAACAAATGAACACATCATAAGCTTAAAGACTTCTGGAGGCAATCAAGACCTCGATTTCGTAAGAAATACTCGCTTTTAGTTTATTTGTTTGCCATATGCTTTCAAACGACTCTATTATCGATGCAATAATTTCAGGCAGAATTTGGTCCAAACGGCAATCAAATAGTGAGTTCATGTTAAAGAAAAATACTGAGAACAGAGATAAACTAATTCTTGTCACAATAAATAAGGTGTATGTCTACCAAAACAATATTTATTACAAGAACTCTGTGAGCGATAATGCAAAGGCAATCATAAAGACTGGTCAGCCGGGGATTGTATACAACGGAGTTCCCGATTGGCTGTACGGCGAGCGCATATGGAAGACAAACCGAGCCCTTTGGTGGAACCCATTGGGCGACCGCTTGTGTTTTGCATCCTTTGATGACAGTCTTGTGGACACCGTTTCTTATATCAAGTATGGCTCATACGAGAGCACTAGTACTCTAATGCCAGAGATTATGAGCCTTAAGTACCCTAAACCGGGGACAACCAATCCTTCAGTGGCTCTATGGGTCGTCGACTTAACCACTCTCTCGACGCCCAGAAGATTAGAGCAGAAAGACATGAAAGGGTGTGAAGAATATTCCTCTTATTCAATGTGTAGAGAGATCTCATTTCCTGAAACAGAATTTATTCTATAATTTTAGTGATCATTATCTGACATCTGTCTCGTGGATCGACAGCCAGTCCTTGACTACCGTTTGGATGAGAAGACAGCAAAACTGTTCGCTAATAAACATTTGTTACGAGAACTCAGACTGGATTTGCAGAAAAGTAATCATAACTTTATACCATTTTTATTAAAAACATAAGAATAGAAATTATTTTAAGCTTTAAATCCCTTTTGACTCAAATAATGTGCAAAAATGTTACAGAATTTTGAGGACTGTATGGGAGATAAGGGAATGGCATGGAGTGAGCTCTTCGACCCACCATTGATTACATCGGATAAAAAGCATTACTTAATACGTTTGCCTTCAAATGCGGACAAAACTAATAAATTAAGACAAATCTCTGGGATATCAATAGCGGTTAGAAGTTTACTCTAAGTTGCACTC